CCACTGTCGCCAAAGTGCTTGCTCATAGGGGGTCATATGATTGTTGGGTTTTCTCTGTATGTATTATTGTAGGGTCTACCTTACAATATAAAGCGCCTTGAGGTGACTGATGTTGTGATTTGGCGCTTTATAAACAAAAATGAATTGAATTGAAAATGTGCTCAAATATGCAAATGAAAGGAAGTCATTAGTCTTCAGTATTTGTTTAAAGCATTTCTTATATTTTGAAAGGAAAAATGAAAATGTTTAAAAAGTAACTGAGTAAAGAAGGAAAATATGAAGAATAAAACACAAAAATTCCCAAACAAGATAAACGCTGATTGGATCTATAAAAAAAGTATTTAAAAAAAAAAAAAAAAACAGATGTGTGGCGCAAAAATAACCATAATAATCAGAGACACTTTTAATGTTTATTCTTAAGGATTTTGAAAAAAACTTTTTTTCCACACACACCTCGATTGTATAACTAATTGTATAACATTCAAAAAGTGCAAATCAAACACCATATGTGTAAACTCCCTTTTCTATATATATTTTTTCCATTTCTCAGCCAATCACATAACAGCATGACAGCAAGTCAATGCACGTAAGCGTTTTATCACGTTGACACAGGTCAAGCCTACCTTCTGAAGTTCTAGTCAAGCATCAGAATAGCGGGGGGAAAAAAAGGTGATTTAAGGCAGGCTGATTTCAGAAACTGCATATATGCTGGGAGTTTCCCACACAAACATCCCTGATATTTACAGAGAATGGTCCAAGAAAAATGTTCAGTGAGCAGGAGTAAAACTGTCTTGTTGACGTCACATGTCACAGGAGATTCGAGAGCAATTTGCATGATGCTGTCAGGTTAATATGGACAAAACAAAGTATCAGTAAGATGTACCTATTTAAGTGTCTGTTGACTGCAATAAAGTCTCAGTGACAACCAAGGCTTTAAATGAAAATGAAAAAGTCTACAGCCTCCCCATGTGGTCATTTTATGAAATGGCACCAGACAAGCAGGAAACACTGCACTTACTCTATTTAAATAAGTGTATTTAACCAAACCCATGCTAGTTTTTCAAGCTGACTTGGTTATATTGAGCTATTTTTCAGAGCATGTATGATATGTAAAAACAAGCCAGTTATGTTAAAAGTTTAGTCTTTAATTCAGCAGTGTTGTGATTTCTATTTCAGTGTTACATCTCCACAAAGTGGTCTACGGGTGTGAGTGTGGGGACCAGTAACAAATGGGTCCGGGAATGGAATGAAAAGAAAACCAGACAGAGGTGTTCTATAAAAATATAGTTTTATTACAAATAATGTAGTTTTATTACAAATAACGTTAACTTAACGAGCCGGCAACACCGTTTTACCAATAATGCCAAAGAAACAAAGGAAGCAGTTGCAACAACAAAAGAAAAAACTACCAAACAAATAAGAGAGGCACTTCCCACACTTCTTACTTAACTCCTCACCACAGGGAGACACTTCCAGGGACCACAAGCCCATCTACTTACTACTCAAAGGAGTCTTTCTAAAACCTAGTAAAAAAACCATGTAGCCCCTCTCCCTTGCAGGTCATGACCTCCCTTGCAGGTCATCCCAGCTTATATAGCCTCAGAGAGGTGATTGCTGACTGGGTCCAGGTGGTAAACAAGGCTAATCAAAAGCAGCTGTGTCCAGGGGAGAGAGAAGAGTGAGAGAGAGACAGAGAGAACACCACACCCACACAAGGACAGTTTCAGGAGGCCCTGCTAGGGCTGTAACATTCAGTTTATTAATTTGATCTCCTATAGGCTTATTGGTGCAGCCCTCCACAATGTTCTTGTCATGATCTGGGTAAGTCTGAGTAATTTTCCACAGCATCAGCTCTCCTCCCCTGGGTGGAGCCCTCCTCACTCCTAACCTGTTGGCAGTTACTCCAGCAGTATTTATGACCAGTGCTCACATTGAACCTTCGCCAGATTGTCTGCTTACCATATCAGTTCCCTGCCTCATATTTTTGTCTTGTGTTCCTCAGCGTGTTTCCACAGTGTGGAAGTTGAAGTTGAAGCCTGCGACTCATCGATGGTTGCTGGGGTTGCAGCACAGCGGAAAAGGCCTGTGTTTACCATCAGCGTGACAGCGCCATGCTGCCTTTGCAGTTTTAAGGCCCAGGGAAACGAGCCTGCCAGCACTCTGTAGCGGCCAAGACCGCTGGCGATAAGGAAAGGCTGCTCTTTATAGAGGACTCACGCTCGGGGAGACGTTTTCTGGTTGACTCCGGCTCCCAGAAGAGTCTCGGGAACTCTTGTGTCGTCTTTGCATACCTCTACAATTGTATAATCTTTAATCTTTAAAAACATTGGAGCTTTCCTGCGTACCACAGTTTGAGAATGACTGCTTTAGACTGCCATGACCTGGATGACTGAGAACCTTCACAGACAATAACCTTGTAACTAAAAAATACTACTCACATTTTAAAAAAAGAAAATAAATATATTGATTATTTAATTTCAACATCAAAATTTCTAGATTAAAGTTGAAAAGTGGCAGTTATTTGGCTTCAAACTAAAACTTTTATCTCAACATTTGGACTTTTTTTTTTTTCTTAAAATAGTATTTGGAGTTGACTTTAATCTCAAAGTGAGCACTATTTTTTTTCTTTTTCTTTTTTTCTTAATGTGGTCCTAATATATAATAGTAGTTGTTACATCTACTGATGGTCTCATAATTTTACAATAATATTTATTTTATAACGAGAGTTGTGCATAGAATAAAATTAACGCTTATGGCTGTACTATACACACAAACTGTGACTTGATAAAACTGAGACTATCTGCATGGGTATATAATGCTGAGGGGAGGTGAGAAACTCGTGTGTGACATTAAAAGGGCATAAGCAAGAATGATGTGAATGATTCTGATGTTATACTAAGTGTGTTTATGAGTAACATGTGAATGTCACAAATTATGCACAAAATGCTGGATAAAGATGTGTTGATGCATGCTCAATCAACCAGGTAAGTAAATCCCCAAAGTTTGATTCTGTTCATCTGGTGTTTTCAGTGGGAGAAACGTTTTGTCACTCATCCAAGTGACTTCTTCAGTCTCAGCTGACTGCAGGTTTCCCCAATCCTATAAACAGTACATTTGCATAATGACTGAAACTAGCACCACTGAAGGAACAATGGGCTGGGAGGTCAGGTCCTTGATTATTAATATGCAAATTCTCATGACCATTGATCAACAACCACTGATCAAAGCTCATTGATCAAAGACTACTGATCAATGGCCATGAGTACCATTTACACAGAGTTGGGGAATAGCTGCAATCACAGCATTGTAAGATGGCGAAAGGAGCGGTTCCGACAGAGACTTACAATGCTTCTAGATCACAATACTCTTAAAAAGGTGTTTGAATTCCTTAAGAAGGCTCATCTAGCACAGCATGAGAAGTCTAAGGCTACGTCCA